TCCAAGTGAAATGTCTTCTACGCGTGCATTGTGCATTGTTTACAAACGTAAACTGATCCGGGCAGAATGATGCCTTTTGCTCATTTTATATACCCAGTTACACTAAATAGGTAATATATTATATCCGGATGTTTTTTAAACCCCTTTATCAATTTTTTCAATACTTCAAGGAGAAAAAAAGTTAATAATGAGAGCTAATCAACCCGCATAGATGCAATCTCTCTCAGTGATTGTAGCGGCCTAACGAATATTAACTGCGGATCAGTGCAATATATGATATCTTATATTTCTAGAATTTCAACGGTTGCAGAAGGTTTTATGGATCTCCTAACAGATGAAACAAATAACGGTGCCGTGATGGCTGTTACAGCTCGCGAAGGAATTCAATATAAAATACGAAAATAAATAAATATGTCTTTAATTTTCGAAATATTGACAAGTATAACAAAAATCGTTCAAATAGAAATTAAATAACTTATTCATTATGTCATTTAATTTTTACCTTTTGGTGTTATAGGAATGAGCATTCATGACGATAACTATTGTTTTCGAAATAAATAACACCGATTTAAGAATTTCATTTAATAAATTCAATAACCAAAATCTTAGTTTTTCAGTATTTTTGTCTGTACACAGAATAAATATTTACATTGTATAATTATTATTGAGTAATTGTAATAATGTAATAATTATAATGCTTGTAATAGTAAGAACTTATGATAGTAGCCAGTAACAATAACGTATAATAGTATGTTAAGTGGTATAATGACAATAATAGTTGACGGATATAAATATGCAAAAGGTAAGATTTGGATAAAGCTGATCCGTCTCGCTATAATAGTTCAAAAATAGATAATGAAAAATGGATATATTAAAAATTTCAATTAAATTACTTTATTTTGAGCGATCTTATGACTGAAGACGTAGTGTAGATTGTTTATTAGCGTAGCAACTACACTGAAAAAAAACTTGTGTTGAAACAACACAAACTTGTGTTATTTAGCGTAGCAACTATATATATATATATAAGTTTGATGAAAACGTATCCATCAAAAAAATATATCAAAATATAATAAAATGATGTCACAGGTTCTGAAATATATCCATAGCAAAAAAAAAAAAAAAAAAAAAAAAAAAAACATAAACATACCATATATTATAAACCAGGGTGAAACTTTTGTCTAACTAAACTCGGTGTATGTCTTGCCTGAAAACCACAACTGAAAGACGATTCATTGTGGTGAATCATCGATTTATTTATATAACACGTTTAAAGGAATGTCTTGTTTAAATTTTCAAAAATCGATTACCCTTTCGTACAGTGCACGTGTAACGAAAATTATCGTATTTTAGTCTCAAAATTGTGTTGACTAGACGGCAAATCCCCTTTCATTCCATTCCGCCAGGAAGGTAACCTGTCTAATTGTTCACTGTCAACTTACATAATTAATATGGAAGTCGATAAGTGCGCCTTCGCTCCTCCTTGCCTTCGCTGCGAAAGGAAGCCAAGAAGCTGCTAAAGATTTTCCTGCGAAGTTAAAACGGCGCGACAAATGTTCCTAGTCTCGCAGCTTCGCTATGAATTAACAGCGCGAAGTCAAAAAGCCACGACAAATTATCCTGTTCTCGCAGCTTCGCTATGGGTTAAAAGCGTGAAGTGAAAGGGACAAGAACTCATTTCTTAGCTTCGCGATGTTCATATCTTGACTTCGTACTGTTGACTCATAGCGAAACGAGGCAGAGACTGAGGGAGATTACGACAATTGTCGCGGATTCATGGCGTCGCCTTCGCACTTAGTTCACTCGAAGGCAAAAAGGGGCGAAGGGGTACTTATCGTCTTCCATACTTCCCAGATGAATGAGGTGCGGCATCAAATCAATGAAAGAGTAGCCTTCTCTTAATTGGATTTTCGACGGTAAACGAGCTGCAACGTTAGTCCTACCCGAACGACTAGACGTTTTTTCCTTGTCAAACCCTCGGTCCTGCACCACTGACAATAGAAACAAGTCTGGGATGTTTTCAGCCGACATCGACATGAAAATCGGAGCCATCCGACGACATAGAGAATTCCATAGAGCGTTGTCATGTTTATTAATGTCAAATTAATAATTTATCTAACAAGTAAGGCATAAAGAAAAACCTACAATAGACAGATTTAGATATTTCATAATGCCGCTTTAACAAGGACTTTCAAATAACAAGTATTATAACAAAATGGGATTTATTTATCTTTTGTCTGTACCATACAAAGGGTAATATTTTTTTCTATTTTTCTGTTCCAGAGGACATAATCTTCTCTGATGTCAACTAGTGACGTGTGGAGGTTTGATGATGCCCGGGCCAACTCTTTGACTGTGTGCCCCCAGGACTTAAGAGAATTGGACCTAGTATAATTCACATTAATTCAGACATCTTGTACAAAGAAGTCAATTTCAAATTAAAAAAGAAATTAAAGACGCATTATTTAAGAGCTAAATCTGCCTATCGCTGGTCTTCCGTTTTGCTCTAAATATTAAATTATTATTTAGATATTTATTTATTAACGTGAGAAGCATATAATAAACTCAGAACATTGGATGGCCAAGATTTAAATGGATTTAAACATCCGCGAGATTTAAAAATTCAACGATAAAGCGGACAATCGAGGCTAAGTCTCGGTTGTCAAGTACCGTTGCTATGATAATGAACGATCTACGCTATTTCTCCGAATAGTCATAAATTCGCTCAGAATAAAGTAATTTGAATGAAATTTTCAATATATTCCTTTTTCATTATCTATTTAAACTATTATAGCAAGAACGGGCAATTCTTCATTTCAATCTTACATAATGTATCTTTACTTTAATCTTACTCGTTAATTTCACCCCACCCCACCCTACCCCGCCTCAACCCTACCCCCTGCTCTACACACCACTGATTTCCACAGGTAGGATGCAGAATGTGTGTAGGTATAAATCATAGATATAGCGTAATTATCAAAATGAAAAGTTGATAGCGGGCGACTATTTTAAATAACAACAAACAATACTTACAAAGAAGGGAGTAAATGCCAAAAAAAAAAGGAGACACGTGGATCTATATCTCCCCTTTACTCAGTGCTTGTATAACACGTTTTACACATCTAAAATCGATGATTATACAAAAGAAAGGTGATTCTGTGTACATAAATGTCAAATAGACGACGACATTAAGAAACCAGAATAAACCAAGCCAAACACCCTTTGTTACAGAGAATCGTACACACACGAACAGCGTGTTTGTTAATATGCTGCATCAATAGCGCTCAAATAATGAAATATCGTTTTGATGTAAATAATACAAAATTGTATTGATCAAATTCATTCATTAACGAATTTCCTGTTCCAGCGTGTTTGATGGGCGCGAGTCTAAATCTCGATTATTTCCGGTCATTTCGGGACTAACACGTACTTCAATTTTATTTCAATAATTCGCTTGCGCATAGGGGTCTTTAGCAGTGCAAGGAAACCGAAGGACCCGGAGAAAACCCACGAGATTGGACATGCGACCCAACTCCTTGTCAGGTACAACAGGGGATTCAATATTTCTTTAAAAATAGTATTATTATTAATACTAACGAACAAACATGCTTTCTCGTTTAACGAAACGTAAACAAAACAAATACTTGAAAATTTCGCTGTGAAAAAAAAAATGTGCGTGTCGAATGGAAGACCGAATTATACTTGAAGGAACATTATCTTTTCTCTTTTTTTCCCTAATAATTGGTTACTTATCTCGATAATGGATATGTTAACAATCCCTCGCAATCAAACCATCTGGAACAATTAGCATTATACTTAATTAACAAATCACTTTATTGGGTAAAGAACAGAAAAATGGTAATGTTTTACTTTCGACTGGCTGCAAACAAAGCGGTTTAATAAACAGGAAGGTAAGTAATAAATAGAGTCAACCCTTCCCTACGCGTACAAATAAGTAAATATAATTCTTTGGTATAGGTTTAATTTTACTGAACATGATCACATTACGGCGTAGTGATACATCATTTTTTGACAACAGGTCACCCGTTGCAAAGTCCTGTATATTGACCCAGTGCTGAGGAATATTGTAATTGTTTATGGTAATTGAGAACTTTTCTGCAACAATATTACTGGATACAAAAAGTAGTTCCCTTTTAATAAAAAAATGATCAATCAAATTCATGTAATCAAATTCCTTAGGAGATATCGCTCAGTAGATTATGAAAGTTATCACACAAGCAATAGTTTTGACTACAGCGATAGCGGGAAACTATTCTTAGTCTGTTAAATATAAAACATGGGTATGTAGAAGTTACAACTTAGTCATAAAAATATTACAACAGATAACAAAGACAACTGTGGGTCATTTTACTGGGAAATATAAGATGCAAACAAAATAACAAAATAAGCTTTGGTTTTGTGTGAATGCTAAAATTCAGAACATAACCGAGGTTAACAGCTTTTTCATATACAAAATTATGAGACGTAAACCGTAAAGAACATTTTGTACAAAATGATCCATAAATCCTGATGAATGACTTAATAAGCTTCCATTTTGACATTTCCAGATGTCCAAGTTGGTGATTTGTCTTATTTTTCAAGAGAGGGTTTTGTTTTTTTTGTGTTGGTAAATTTAATTGTTCAACTGATTTTTATTTAACCGAGGGTGATCTTAAATACATGGTAAGTTTTTAATAATATAAGCATTGTGTAGTTTGTTCATACGCAGCTCACAGCATAGAGATTCTTTTGAGCAGGTCAGCAATATTCTTTTATAAGATGATTGTGACATGCTTGACTTTGTGTGGTTATAAAGACTATGATCATTTGATCGTCGTGGATTTAACATTGAATTCACTGCGTAGAGAATTACTAGTCTTAAGCCATTACGGTCAGAACAGAGTTCTTCCCCCTGTAACAAAAATTTGTCGGAAAAGAATAGTTATCCAGTCCTTTGTTCATATGTTACTTTTCAAGCGCTTAAAAATACTCAAAAAACTAGTCTACAACAGACGCCATATTGTAAGCGTGTCTCGGTTTGAAGCGAAACTTGTGCCATATTGCTTTATAAAAATTAAAGACACAGCTGTACTTCCACAATGCAAGGAAGAATGAAGGACGAGCCTGGGTATGGACAGATTCTTATAAATATAGTCACGCTCCGAAATAATTCTTGGTTGTTTTGTTTTTGATTAATTTAGCCGTATCTTTTTCCCACTCCAAAAATGGGTTGTTTGTTCCATCGTTCACATTGCAACTTTCAGTATAATCTTCTTATATTACCTCCAGCCGGTCTCTTTATATTAGTATTATGCTTTTACATACTGTTTAATTGGTGTCGTTTGCTAATGAAGATAAAAATACAAATAAATTGTGGGGATGAAATGAGTGCTCCAAAGCTATAAATATACATTATTGTTCATTGTTCATTTCGACCGTTCCTGAACATCCCTATATTAAAGGCTCAATACCACTCTTGTTGTGACTGAATAATATGTCTGAATCTTTATTCTGGTCAACAAATTGTACTATTTTAGAATATTTCAATTAATTGATGATACAAATTTCATCTTAACACACCTTATTTAAAATTTTTGAAAAATTCAACATAATGGTTTGAAACGTCTAATGTAAACCTTTTCAAATGAAACTTCGATTTAAAAATATTTTCGAACCCTCTGGACAAGTAAAATAGGATGTAATGGATAATTTACACAACAGGTAGGACACTTAAACATCTAGTACTTAGATAGAGATATTATTTATTTTCTGGAGCTTTCAAGCCAGCAAGAGTGTTATTGTCCCTTTAAAGCTGCAATATGAAAATACCTCTCTACCCCACCTCTCTCCTAAAGCTATTTTATAGCCCTTTCCTGATATTTTTCACCATAATTCTTCTTTGTCGTCAAAAGGGATTAAGCCTATTTCTCGTCACACCTGACAAACATTTCCAATAATTGTACACTTTTTTTCAAGTAGAAATTTGTGATTCAGTCTGGACCAATTCAGACATAATTATTTTGTTTATGATATGATGCCTATATTTTACTTGCAAATTTCTGCTTGAAATACATGTATATTGTTAGTTTATGAACTTGTGTCAGATGTGGCGAGAATTGATTCCTTTTGACGAAAAGACAGATTCTGGTAAAAAAAAAAATAGAAAGTAGACCCCAAATTTGCTGTGTAGAACAGACGTGAGGTGAGGTAGGGTAGAGAGCCATTTTCGTATTGCAGCTTAATATTTATCTGAGGGAGACGGTTTCCCCGCAAGACACTATCAATATTATTATTTGGATACAAAGCAGCACATTGTTTTCAGTTCATTAAATCTAATCAATTTTTCAAACTAGGTAACACCAATCAATAATTCCATGCAATGAACTGTTTATTATGCAGTTATCCATATAATAAATGTGACAAGTGCTGGCATAATGAGTCACAATATCAATAAGGAAATTTTGAAAATTGAGTTATTGTTCTTTTCACATTGTCCAATTCATTACCTTCAAAATGATTTATGGTTGGTTTGATTCCGGCAAAAAAAATTGACTGAGTTGTGTCCGTTTCAAGCAGCCCAAGTCAGGAAAGTAAGTTTTGAGAAGAAGCAAGTTAAAGATGTTGGTATGTTCCCCCCAAAAATCACATAGCAACCAGGCAATTTATATGCTATTTTATCGTTTAATAAAAACATTTCCTATGACATAGACAGTGTTACAATTTAGAACAAATGAGAATACTCCATACAGTACTTTAGTAATCCATGTTTTGTATATTATAACATTTATGAGAATAACTTCTGTTAATCTCATTTAATTAGCACCTTTAAGTGGTCAAGAGATTAAAACTGTTTATTAGGTAATCAAGTTTAGTTTATTGGGTAATCAGGTTTAGTTTATAAGTTTAGTTTATTGGGTAATCAATTTTAGTTTTTTGGGTAATCAAATTTAATTTCTTGACCATAAAAGAAGCCGCCACACCTATACTATGTGTTCTGCTATTTTCGTCACACGACTGAACTCAACTAAGGTTTTGCGTGTACATGTTATTTTCAGGTATCGTAGAGGAATCAGAATCTGAATCACTGATAGAATGATAGAAAATTCAATTTTATTTGTAAGCGATGTTGTTCACTTTAGGGCCTTTTGATATAGTGAAACAAACGTCGGAGAATTTTCTCATTCGAGATTCGTTGCTTTTCGTGTCATTCATTGTTCTAATGTTTCCGAAGCTTGTTGATAATAAAATTTGAAACAGTAATATCCAATTAGGCATGCTTGTACATTTTGTATGCCGTATGAAACCTTAGTAAACAAAATTTAACTATTAATATAAATTTATAATTTTTTTTTTAAAGACAAAACAAAATGTCAGATAATAACCACTTGTTTGTATTAATTATTCTGGGTAAATAATCACTTGGGGACAGGTTTCATATTTATCATTGACAATTATCAATCAACGACTCATTAATCCATGACGATTAGTATTTTTCGATGACAAGTTTCAGGTTTAACCTAGTTGATTAATTTATGATATGCCAAGTATTACGCAAGGGGATTATCTGATCGTCCCACAGCAAGCGAAGAAAAATAACTAATTCGCTGAGAATTTTAAGAAAAAAAGATTTATGAATACGGTACTTGCAAAAATTCCAAATAAAGGGGTTTCAAAATGTTTTATTGCTATTTTGATCTTTTAGGTTGATAGATAGTATATTAATAGACTTTTTTTGTGAAAATCTCAATTTCGACCAAAATCAATATTTTCACTTGTTTTGTCTGTGGCTCAATTGATTACATTTTGTGCATTCCGACTCATTTAGCCATAACAGGTCATAAATGTTTACTATTTAGACATTTTTATGGTTAAATGTTACTAGACCTACTAACCTAGGCTAATCTGTTTCAGGAAAGTGTTCGTCGGGGGATTAAGCTGGAATACAGATCAAGACATGTTAAAGTCTTATTTTTCTACATTTGGTGATGTTGTTGACTGTGTTGTTATGAAGAACCCACAAACTGGCAAATCTCGTGGATTTGGATTTGTGACTTTTGGAAATCCTGCCATCAGCGAAGTTGTATTGACTGGCCCAGATCACATGATTGATGGACGTAAAGTAAGAAAGTTTTGAAACTTATATTAAGGGCTATTTAAACCTCACTGAATACAACAATATTGTTTTAGTAGAATTTGGTTTGTAGAGAAATTTGTATGTTTTCCCATAACCAGTTCATTGTGTTTCATCTTTCTCACCTAAAAGTTACATACAACTAGTACAGCATTTTTGTCCCCATCACTCTAGATGCACTAAGAATGCAACTAAAATGCGCTTTAAAAGTAATACCCAGCCCTGATTGTTGATGCGAGTTGATTATTGCTATAATAGTTCAAAAATACATACTTTGTTTTGGGCAAAATAATGATTGTTTAAAGATGTAGCGTAGAGATCGTTTATTAGCGTAGCAACGGTACTTGACAAATGAGACTTGACCTTGATTATTCATTTTATCATTAAATCTTTTGATGTCACTGGTGTACAAATCCATTTCGATCTCCGCCATCTGATGTGCTAGAGAGTTGATTAAGTGTTTGTCATGTGAATAAATGTCTAAATATTAGCATTAATTACATAATACATCTTTAGGAAGAGAGTTGGTTGATGTAAATATTGAACTTGTTTATGTTTCAGGTGGATTGTAAAGCATGTAATGCTCGATCAATGAATCAAGGAGGAGGAGGTGGTGGTGGTGGTCCTGGAGGTCCCGGTGGTCCAGGGGGACCAAGAAATAGAATTCAGGTATGATAAGAATGAAATAGGATGTCTTTGGAAATGGCATAGATCTATATAAATAGTTCAACTCTTATTTTTGTCGTTGATGGATTATATTTACTGTAAGCTGTAAAAATCGTTGCTTAGCATCGACACCCGGTTGTAACACAGGCGTTAAGATGTAATTGTTATTTTTCCCTTGTGACTCGTTTTTTCCCGCCCAAAAGAAAGTTCTATTTAGGGATGTAAAAGCAATGAGAACGCATGTACAAGAGCCATTTCAGCCAGGAAGCAGTCAATTAAATGGAGAAAAATCAAATTGATGTTTATTAGCTTGAGTTGGATTGGTGAAATTGTGGGATATTTAACAGTTTATTTTTCTATATCACTAGTTTAATTCACAAACTATAAAAAATCTGCAGGGATCCACATTGGGTAAGTGGGTAAGACACTTGCTCGCTAGCCTGGAGGTCGCATGTTCGATCCCTGCATTGGCCAAGAAAATTCATCAGCTGTTCCCAAAGTGTGTTTCCCTTGTCAGGGGTCCTGACAAGAACAGCTGTAACAAAAAGCCGATGTCTCGTGTATACATTGGTCACTGCCCTGGTAAAAATTCCCTCTTAGCACCCTGTATGGTGTAGGCTCATCTTCATTAGCCCAGTCGGAGTAGGACGTTAAACCCCATTTCATTTTTAAAAAAAAATCAGCAGTGAAAGGGCAGTAGTAGGGACTAGTACGGCTGAATAGGTCACTAGCCAGTAAGTTATTTTTGGTACCCCCCGGGCATCGGAGCTAGTGGATTTTTACAATCAGGGACGCACTAATCAGTTTGTGCCTTCTGCTTATGATAAATGCAACTGCCGTGGTTTCGAATACCTGGTTGTACGTGACAAGGAGTAATGTCGCCTGTCCAACCTTGTGTGTTTTCTCCGGGTCCTCCGGTTTCCTCCTACTGCTAAAGACCTCTTCGCACAAGCGAATTATTGAAATAAAATTAAAAACCATGTTAGTCTCGAAATGACTTAGTTTGTGTCAAGTGGATGTTAAACCCTATTTCTCTCTCTCTCTCTCTCTCTCTCTCTCTCTCTCTCATGAGAAATGGATATTAACTACTTAAGCCATTTGCTTTGACACAATGTTTCTAGAAACCATGTTGACTCCTATGATTAAACAATTGAATGATAATTTTGGTTTAATGTTATTTTTAGTCTCTGGGTAGAGGAGGTCCAAGAGGTGGTGGAGGCGGACCAGGGCCAGGACAAGTTAGTAAGATTTTCATGGGAGGAATACCAGGTGATGCCAATGAGGAGGTCTTAAGAGAAGTATTTGGACAATATGGACCTGTAAGTTCCTACATGTATTTTTTTTTTCTTTTTTCAGAATTTTGCTAAGTACAGGAACCTGCAAAGAATTTATGTACTTGTAGCAAAATACCTTGGTAATGTTCATTACAAAAATGAAAATAGATTTTTATTTCATTATTAATTGACTTAACAAGTTGTGTTGCTGTAATTTTAACTTCTGAAAGTGTAAACATATACTTGGTGTTGGGATATGGAATGGACTCAAAGTCCTTCTTTTACTTCCCTCAGTACAATTAGTACAATTTCTTTGTTTTCATACAAGACTCATGCGAGAGCCCTTTATGTAACGAGTAGTGCTGTAACTTATTTCCTATGTAGTGCATTTTCTAACATTGCTCCATATTGACTAAATGTTTTCAGTCTCACAAATGTCATTGTAATGATGAAATTTCATAACCTTTATTAAATTATTAATAGTCGTAAAATAACACCAACTGGTGTTATGTGTGAGTTTTCAGAGTAAACAGCCAACTAGGCGATTTCTGTTCTCCATCCGTCCATTAACACATTAAAAGCACACATAATTATCTGATTCTAGAATATATACTTAATCCAATCTTTTAAATTTTATTAGGTAGCTGAAATTGTAATTATGTATGACCAAGAAAAGAACCGTTCTAGAGGTAAGCTAATACTTCAGTTCATCCATATTAAATTGATGACACTATAATACACGTGTATATATATTCCTTACAATAAGAATAAAGTTTTACTGTACATATAACTTATGACACAAGAGTAACATCTTGGGCCTGTCTTAACTGGCACATTGTAATTAAGGCACTTAACATTGAATGGAAATTCTGTAATGATTAGTGATTTAACTATAAGTCCATTAGAAGAAATTTAAAATCAAGCCATATTTGTGGACAACAAAGATTATCTAATGGGAACTAACTGGTTGTTATATTTTTATTAGAAATATCCTGGTCGTATAATTTAAGTTTTTTTGTACCTTTTTAGATTGAAAACACTTATATTGTGCATGTGTTTTACCTGTTAATATAAGAGAAAATATGATTACATTGAAATTTCCTTAAATGGTTTAAAGATATATTTATGAATAAACTTCTATTTAAGTTTTGATATTTAATTATGATTAATTTAGATTTGTTGCGAGGTTATCTTGTGAAACAATTAAAAGAAGCTAGATTTTATTTTGGTTAGATTAGTATTTAAACACTAAGATTAATATAGTTGATATTTTCATAAATAATTTGAAATGAAAATTTAGGACTAATTATGTTTCGGGATTCGAAAATTTTAGGATTAATTATGTTTTGGGACTCCTATTTAAGAAATATATTATTAATAGTAATAGCATTTAAGATGCAGATAATAAATTTGTTTTTGTTGTCAAGCTTTAAAAACATAATTTATTTCCAATATATGTTAATTTTTAACATAGATGTAGTTGAATTAAGCTATATTTTTTTTTTGAAAGGTGATTTAAACCTAAATTATTCCAGCCAGGCAACTTATTCAACTGTGTTGAAAAATGAATGCAGCTTTATGAATTAAATTTAATTGAATTGAATTTAATCATGTATTTATATTTAATATATGCTTTTGTATACTTTCAGATCAATTATTGATTACTAGTTTTATTTACATGTTTAACTCTGTCTATAATAGTCTGATAGGCCTCCATTTCAAAACACAAAAAAATACCGACAAGGCTTATATTTCTAATGGAGTTTTGACTTTTTAAATGAGAATGAGTTGTAATCATTCAAAATAAGAAACCAAATTTTTTTTTTTTTATGTGTGGGCGTATAATTCAATTGCTTTGTCTGTCTACACTTGCCTCCCTGCTCTCTATAGAAGCAGCAATTTTAGACAAATCTTTTTCAAACACAAAGACAAATGTATAGTCATGTACGCATTGTCATGCTTGTAAAGGAACCCCGGACAATTGGAATTCGAAAGAGTAGGACATAGTGCCGCTGTTCGGGCAAAATTTTCTCTAATAGCACACTGCATGGCATATGCCCGTCTTTATTAGCCCCGTAGGAGCAGAACATTAGGACATTAAACCCATTTGATTACATTTTTTTCAAACGTTAGGATGTTTGTTCTTATGAGTCGATGACAAATGTGATTGCATTTGTGCTTAATTTTTTTTTCTTTTTTTCGTTGTGGAGTTCTGCTTTGCTCTTTAGAGGCCACAATTTTTGACAAATCTTTTTCAAACCTTAGGAAAATGGTTTTTATGAGTAGACAACAATTGGAATTGAATTTGAGCACAATCATTGCATTCCCTTTTTGATAAATCTTTTTTGACCCATAGGATAATGATTCTTATGTGTAGACAACAATTGGCATTGAGCACAATCAAAAGCCACGATTTTTAATAAATCTTTGTGAAACTTTAGGAATGATTATGAGAGGATGACAGTTGGGACTCAATTTGAGGACAATGGAATTTTGTCTAGGAGTAATGGCACTTTAGTTAACACAATATTGCTTCTGAACTTGCAAGAAACCACACGTTTTATATGCCCACACATATTATGAATGTATAATGCTATTGCCCTGTCAGTCGTCCCCACTTGTCTGCTTTCTAGACACCGCAGTTTTTGACATTCTTTTTCAACCTTTCGGATAATGATTCTTATTAGATGGTGTTTAGGACTGCATTTCAGCATGATCACATTTCTCGTTCCGAAGTTATGGCAATCATGCTTGTGCTCTCTTTAGCTGCTGTGTGGCTACCTTTTTTTAATTGTCAGTAATTGAAAGAAAAGTCGAAAAATGTAAAATGTGCTAATCCTGATATCACAGGGACTGCATTGGTTGAAGAATGAATCCACAAAATGCATTTTTTCAGATTTGTTATGTATTAACTCGAGTATTTGGCAAAGCTGCTGATCATGCATATTGTGGACAATATCTAATTTTTCATAGCTTAATCCATGTTAAAATGCATTAGAGTTAATCCAACTTTTAATCCAGAAGCCTATCAAAAGATTTTACCCGACACTTGTAAGAGGATGACAAATGTTGCAAAATCTTCAATTCATTTTATCTATGTAATTTTTTAACGGAATTGAACCATTTTAGGATAATTTCTAAGAAATTTAACCGTTTAGAGATTTTCAGGGATTTAGCATTCCCCAAATGACTGATTAGTGGCCTACAAAATGTTAGATACACAAGAGAATTTGTTTATTAAATTTTATTAATCCAAAGAGGAACTTACATGTGTCCTTGTGAATGTCTAATTTATCTATGTGAATTTCATTGAAATCTAAATTTAGACAGGACGTTCAAAATTTTATGTTGCCATTAATTTTCCTGTCAGCTGATGCATTATAAAAAAGCACTGACAATATTGTTATTGTCTGTCTTTTGCATTTACATGTAGTTATGGTTGCATTGTATCCAACTTGGCTAATTGTTTTGAATTGGTGAAATCATTGCTTGAAAAGCAGAAACTATTTATACTCTTCCAAAAAAGTAGGGGATATTCAGAAACACTACAAAACTGCGGAAATGCACTGCTGTTTTTATTAGAGGTAGCCAGTGTATGTTAATAACAGGCCAATTGCCTACACATGAACATTAACAGTTCATATGGGCGGCTTATGTGACGACCCTATTTCACTCGCAAAGAGATACACTATCAAAAGTGAAAATGGAAGTTTTTGAATTTTGTCTTAATAATGAGTAATTGCTCCACCAATCCTCAGACGTTCAGCAATTCGTTGCGGCATGCTCCTAATCAACCGTCCAATTACGATTTGGGCTAATCTGACGCACTCCTCTTGCAGTGCTACGGCGAATTCTTGCAGTGTTGTTCGTTGAGGTCGACGAACACTTCTACCGGTCAAATTAAACGTAACACACTAAAGCAAAGATACGTTCAGTAAATCTTATGCAAGAACCGATAGGAAAGCAAACATGGATAGGATAAACCAGCAAGCGGCAGTTTTCATCAACCCTTCCTTGAAGTGTCAAATTTGACAATGAACACTTCCCAGGTGTATGGCGCTATTGCGTGTCACACATCAGCTCAGTGGTTCTGTTGGGGCGATAAGTTCTTCATCTGTGAACATACTCTCAAAGCATGTCAAGTGTCCATGAATATTTATCATATCACAACCTGCATAGGTATTTGCATTTCAATATCCCCTACTTTTTTTTTGAAGAGTATAGTTTGATTGTGCACTTTAGATCATCAATCATTTAAAAGGCGGCTGGTGCAATCTTAAAACCAAATGGTATGACATCATTTCTATCAACTTGATCTCAATGCATTCTAATAACTAATGATTGTTAGACACCATTCTTTATTATTATCAGTGCAGATTGGATTACTTCAATATCCAGGAAAACAGCAGTCTTCAGCAGAAGGATATTCCCACAACAGAATGTTCTTTTTTTTTTTTTTATTAAGGGTGCCACCTCTACAATTACACTAGACCTTACTATAATGCTGATATTGGGGTAACATCTGCTTTGCATTGACACACTTATGTCAGACATGGATTGTACTATTATAATACTGTTGGAGCCATACATACATAGTTGTATAGCAGACCACATTATAGTGAGGTCCATGTGTAGTTATTTTTATGGTATTGGTGTTGTTTATTTTGATGAATTATTAAATTATGAATATTATGATGACCCTTAGGATTTGGATTTCTGACGTTCGAAAGTGAAGATAGCGTGGACAGAGTTTGTCAAGAACATTATATAGATGTACATGGAAAGAAGGTTAATTAGAGCATTTATCATTTTGGTTGTTTACGAAGCAAGAGTTTCTTTGATATTCCTTAATATAATTAGATTTTATGCAACTACATATATTATTTGCATATATATCTTGTATATCCATTACATGTATATTCCATACAGCAATTTTACATGTTTTGTAATATTCAGAGGATCTCTTGTGATGTAATGCCTTACCATTTAAGGAGGTTTTCCACAGTTTAATATTAAAATTTGTAATTATAGATAGCCCACACGATACCATCATATTACCAGTGATATTTTTCATTGAATAGTCATTATCATCATCATTTTTTTTTATAATAATAATAATAACAAGTCATCATCATAGCTAAGTTCAGAACAGCTTAATGGCAAGAAAACAGTATTTCTGAATAATTTGTGCTAAGTAGTCTCCTGTTTCGTCTTCATTTATGACTAATTACTTATCGTAAGCCATGTGGGTGAATTTCAGATTAAAGTCTCTTGTACCTCATCTGTTTTTTTACCCCAGACAATATATAATTTTTCACGGCTTAATCCATGCTGAAATGTACTCTAATAGATTAAACATTTAATTAAGAAAACAAAACTATTTAACATTTAATTAAGAAAATCAAACTAATCTATGATCCCCAGAATGAAAAGATGCCCATGAAGTTATTTTACCAAAGATTATATCGTCCACTGTGGATGTCAAATGTTGACACATTTTCAATTAATCATCTTTGTAAATACTGAATGGAATTTGAATCAATTTTGGACTGATGTTCCTTTTCTAGATTCACCGTCTTCATTAGCCCAGTCGGAGCAGAACAGTAGGACGTTAAACTCCATTTCATTTTGATAGATTCAACTTTCAAAGATAATGTTTGTAAGGGATAAAAAAAAAACCCACTAATGAGGGCCAGAGACTTTAAGAAATCTTTATTTTAATTTTAATGGAAAACCTCCACATATGAATAGGAATGTATTATATTTATGCATGTTAAGAGTTTTATATTGGTATAAATTGTCAGATATTTGTATATTTTTTATGAATCAATAATTTTAAGTTTTATCTGGTAAAAAAAAAAATTATTGAAATATAGCAAGAGTACAATTCTGAAATTCTGCTTTGACCATATTTTTAGCTTCTTTTTTGTTGTTGAAAATAATATTTTCCACATAGTTTGACTGAATGTTTCGTTGTTGATGCAGAAATGGATGTATTTCTTTACATTAATGTTGATTTCATTTGTTTTGAGTATAAACTTTAGATATATGGAATTCTGGTTAATTTGAATGTACTGTAATATCGTAATTGCCAATGTATGAATTCTTAGTTTTAAGAGATCATTTGGAACAAGTTGGCTTGCATCACATACACTGCAAAGATTTAATCTTTTGTCACACAATTTGTCACATCATTAGGGGATTGTGGTAGCCTGAACTGGCCCAGGTTCGAAACACGATGAGGGTCGAAAGGAACCTCTGGGATTGTCCAATCCCGGCCTTGCCTTGTATGGGATTGTGCCTGCACTTCAGACAACTAATCAGCCTAATAGGATGGGATAAAATATAACAAACATTCACCTGCGTACGAGGTTGCCATGCACATAAAAGAACCATTGACGGTTGGAAATCAAAGAGTCGACAGAAACACGGCTGTCTACACACAATTATCCTACCCCGTATTGCACCTGTAGCCATGGAAATAAAAATTACCATAATTCAGCAGATCAAGGAAATCCAGGGTTAAGCTACATTATGTGTTGCTGTAGATTTGGTCATGTAATTTGTTTAATTACCAATACAATGTTAATGATTCCTCGATTACATGAATTAAGGGATCAGTTTTTGAATTGTCATAAATTTAACTATTTTGTGTTAACTTCTAGTTATTTCTCAACTAACATATTTTTATATGGTCAAAGCAGAATGAATAGTACAAGAATTACTTGGAAGTTTCTAAGTTTTGCTGTTCCTTGCTTACCCAATCCTTTTTTGTTAACAACCCCCCCCCCCCCAAAAAAAAATCAAAACTCAAAAAATATACCAGAACCTTTTGTCATTAGAAACTATAGATTTTTTAAAAGATTAATATTCATGTTATTTTAAAACTTAAAAAAAAAACCACAGACTGTAAGTTTATGACTTTTAGGGTAATAGAACTGATGGATACCCAAGCCATGGTAGACAATCATAACTAGTTTAAAACTAAAGCATGGAGCCTTTTCATTAAAGATTTACATAATTATTTTCCTAATGTGCCGCTAGGAGACCAATATAGTAACACGATCCTTGCAAGTTTATAACTCCAAAACTAAGATCAAACCTCTTAAGTATCTGGCACATGATTCTCTACCTGACTTAAAGCCGTGGATATTCTAGAAATTGATTTGACATCACCCTCTATTTTATAAGCCTGTTAATGACATTTCTTCACTTAAGTATATTTTAAGCTTAAATATCTGCCAATAGCTGGCTATGAAAGTGATGGTAATGCCAAACTTTCAGACTTTTAATATGAAATAACATGGTACAGTATTTAGTGTTTGATGATGCCCAATCACATAAATGAAACCTGGAAAGATACAATTGATTGACTGGTGACCTTTTTTTACTCTTAGGTTGAATGTAAGCGTGCTCAGAATCGTCAGAAAGAGGGACCTGGTGGACAAGGCCCCCCTATGATGGGAGGGGGAGGTAGAGGAAGAGGTATGGGAGGCAGAGGTGGACACAGAGGTCCCCCAGGACATGGTGGTCCTCCTGGACATGGCCCCCCTGGTCATGGCCCTCCAGGTCATGGACCTCATCATGGTCATGGTGGTCATCATGGGCCACCAGGACATGGTGGTCCCCCAGGAGGACATGGAGGTCCTCCACCTCATTTCCAACCCCCACATGGCGATGGAGGATGGGGTAATGAGGGTGGGCCACAAGGCCCTGGTGGGTGGGGTGGTGGACCACCTCCTAATGGAGCAGGCTTTCCTCCACAAGGAAATAACTTCCAACCTCCACCACAGCAGCCAACACCAGGCTATGGACAACAACCAGCGTACAGTCAGTCTAGTTATGCTCAGCAGCCAGCCTATGGTACTCCACCATCTCAAGGTAATTTTGAAGTTACTATGTCATTATCTTTTTCATTTGTTTTGCATAATACATGATTTAAAACATGAAACTATATGGGCCTGCTCGATTTGTCCGCCGAGAGGCGAGCCAGTTTGTACCACAGCATAAGACTATCAGGTGACCATATCGAACCAAATCAAGTGACCCGACTGATAAACAATATAGGGTCTGATGTAATATAATATTAAACCAGTTACAAGACATGTTTTATCAAAAACAGTATTCTTGTAAGTAATGACTATCAGTAATTGAATGCAAAATAAGCAGAAAATTATTATTGGTAATATTACTGAGGACAATGAAATGATATGAAATGAGTTTAACATCCTAATGTTCTGCACGGACTGTGCTAATGAACACTGTTGTAAGGTTGAGACTCAAATGTAATAGTCTTATTTAATCTGTATTTTATTTTAGCTTATGGAGCACCACCACAGCAAGCGGGATTCCAGTCCCCGGGAGCCCCTCCACCTGTAGCAGCCACTGCACAAGCTCCAGGAGCCCCACAAGCTTTTAATTCTTGGGGAGCACCTCCAGCAGCACAACCTCCAGCTCAGACAAGTTATGCTGGTTACACACAACCTCCAGCAACAGCTGCAGCTGGGTATGGTGCACAACCTGCAACTCCTGCAGCTGTAGCACCAACACAAACTTATTCCCCTTATGGTAAGTTTTCTTTTGCTCTGGTTTTTATGGAGGTGGGGTGTGAGCTTGATGAACCCTATTGATTTTCAGTTGCTTGTCAAAAAGGTTTGTAGTTATTGCCTTTTAAGCAGAGTTGGGAGTCCTAATATTTTCTTTTTAAGAGATTCTGGAGAAATTATTTTCCAAACTTGAACAACATTGGCAACAAGCTTTTTGAAAAGACCGGACGTCTAAGTTATGTTTCTTCATTACCTTGCAATCTGTTTCATTTTTCAGCCCAGCCTCCAGCTGCTGCTCCAGCACCGCAGTATGCTGGTTACCCAGCACCTGCAGCAGATCCTTATGCCCAAGGTAAGTCTAGTTCCATCAGGAAATCAATTCTCCAATTCAAGTGTCTTAGAAGACACAAATTGTATATCTTAATAACCAAACTGAATGTGATACTGCTCATGTAGAATCATTCCGCTAAAAATATATATGATTTTTGTATTTTAGTTGTTATAGTTAATTGAACAACTTTTTCAGTTAAGACCAAACCAATATAGTTTTTATTTCTGAAGAATTATTTTGGGTTTTTTTATGTATAAAATTAGGGCTAAAAGCTTTTGAGCAGAGTAACCAAGTAACTTCTGTCTCTACAAATAGGAAGTAATCGATATTTGCCTATAGTAATTTAAACTGTATACTTGTTTTATATTTACAGCAGGCTATGCTACCATACCAGCCGTAGCACCAACAGTTCCAGCAGCTGATCCAAATGCTTTACAAGCTGGTTATAGTTATGGTTAGTACTTTCCTGGGTAACAAATCTGACTGAATGTTGGCCTTGAATAATTTAATTAAGTTTATTAAAAGCCTGTTAATTGTTGTCAAGAAGCCTTTTAATTTTTGTCTGGTTTGTGAACATCAAATAAATATAGAAATAGTTTACTAGTTTTCTTTGCTTGTCGAGTGTGACTGTGATGAAAAAATAAGCTATTTCTGTTAACTTGAAATATTATGCTTTTACAAAAAGGAAAATAACTTTAATATTTATTGTGGATCAACATTCAGTAGCAGTCAGATATAATGAGTGTATTAGGGATTATTGGATTTCATAGTTTTTACCTCAACTAAAAAAATCTAAATATTGGATGAGATAGCTTTTACCTCGACTGAATGAAATCTAAATATTGGATTTGATAGCTTTTACTCACCTAAATATTGGATTTTGATCTTAAGCTGTGTGAATTCCTCATTCTGTCAGCAGGTCAGTATCCACAGGAAGCTAGTAGTTACGGTCCGAGTAGAAGCTTTAGTCAGAGTCCACCATCTGGAGCTCAGTCCGGTTACAGTCAACAAGTTTATACCGCCCCACAAGCTCAAGGTATACCCTTTATGTAATCCAATGCGGTCTCTGTATATATATATATGTGACAGTATTGATGCATTACCCAGAAGAGTTTAAAGCCTAGTAATGCAACAAAACTGTTACATTTATGGATCCCACATAAATGTATCAAGTCTGGATTTCTTAAAACAACATACAGCAGGAACTTTTACCATGACTTTTTTTTTTAAATCATGTACAGAAGAGTCTTATAAACATGTATGCCATTTGAAAACATACAGTTACATGTAACATCAAATACAGTACATAACCTAGTATTCAGCAATAAATGATGGAACGACAATGGTGACTTATAAGCATTAATTGATAGCTGACTTATCACTTTCTATAAAATTTAGACATTCTGAATTGTTTTTTTTACCTAATTAATACCAGTTCCCAATGATAATAAACTAATTGCTATGGTAACGTTTTAGATACATGCTGAATTTTGTTTGGTTTTGAACTGTGGTTGAAAGAAATCTTTGAATTACCTTGGTCAGCTGGATAGCTGAAAATTTCCTTTGTAATGTATAAATAAAATAATTATAAAAGACTAAGCATCAGCTTCCTGAAAAGTAGATTACGGTTTATTTGTGTTATTCTGCTGAACATTTCCTTCCCAGCAGTTCATTGGCAAGAAATAAGACAAACCAAGCTTGTCTCTTTAGGTGTATGTTTTGTATAATTTCAGGTGCTTACGCAGATCCAGCTGGCTATGGGGCTGCAGGTGCCCCTCCAGTACAAGCATATGGTGGACAAGAAGCACAAGCATATGCTGGATACAGCCAGCCTCGTGCTCCACCATCTGCAGGTGGTGCACAGCCTTACCATCCATACAGACGATGATGTATGGATATAATCATCAACTATTTTAACAAGTATTTTACTCCTCTGATGCAGGCGAAGTGTAATGTTCCATGCTCTAGTTTGATCTGAAAACAAAAGGACATCCATATATTCCACAATACAGACATCTTGAATGAGTGTTATTGAGTATAATAATAGTGTTTAAAACACTTGTTTTCAGACATATTTCATATGTAAGTTCCATGAACTTGTACATTTGTTTGTTTTCTTTTTAACGTCCATGTTATGTAAATGTCTATCCTTGTAATTTATGTATGTATCTCCTGGGTGCGAGAAGCTTAAAATAACAATTTTAAGGATAAGTATTTTAAATGATTGAACATTGTCAATTAAATTAATTTAAAACTAACAAAATACAGTGATTGTTTAAAAGTGTATTCATGTTTACTGATTATAAGGTTTGATAATGTTTATCTGTCGGGAGGTTACAGAGGAAAGCAAGAGACTAGTTTGGATTTATTGTTGTTGTAGGACCAGATGATTCAGAATGGTGAATATAGCTTAACATTATCCTCTGATTCTAGCAAGACTACTATAAAAATACAGGTCCCTGCATTAGAATCCATCATTTCATTTCTTGTATATAATTCATGATTCATTCATATTGTACTGAATACAGAAATAAATTATCATCCCTTATCTTGGTTTGTGTTGTTGTAAAGGGTGGGAGCAACTTGTATATAAACTTTTTGAACAATAGACGTTCACATAAGCAATGCTTGTACTTGTAGATAGATGTTCATGTATGAGTGATTTATTGAGTTTGATGAATCTAATGATATAAAAAAGAAAAGTAATTTTCAAATCTCGCCCCCCCAAAAAACGATGTTAGCCTCCCTTTTAATGGGATGAATGCAAAATTGTGTCTCATTAATTGGATTTACCGTTTTACGATATTTAAAGTGGCTACTGGACCTGACCCAGTAAAGGACCCCCATTGACAATTCGTTTGGAATAAATAACCTTTAAATGGTTCTTTCTAGAGTGTATCCTGTTGTTTCTTGCCCGTGCACAAAATTAGCGTGCGGCAATCTTAAGAATTCATCAAAACGACGTAAATTAAAAACTAGAAATGGCCCTCAAAATAAAAAAAAGGCTATCGAACTACGTGATTCACATCGTTGGGGGGATCAGGGCCTACCCCACCCAAAGGCTCCTTAGTCCATACCTGGAACAAGCCACACTTAGCCAAATCCTATGATGTCGAATGACACTTCCCGGCCAATAAAGACGCGTGATTTGAACCAGGTCTTGAGAAAACGAAGTCGAAAGGAAACCCCAAAACGCATATTAAAGAATCGTAGTGTCATAAACCAAATAATTTGAGGTAATTATTGAATAAGCATATTAATTTAGAAATTCCAACAGTTAAAGCCCTGGTACTTGCATTCTTGAATAATGTCTATCGTTGATCTTTTTATAATTTTGCTTACTGTAAACTATGAAAACCTGTTTTTGTCACAATTTATCGCTCTTTCATCACGACTGGTAGGACGTTAAACCCCATTTCATTTAACTGACTGCTTGCTTGGGTTTGAAAATCTCGACTTCCCGCTCCTGACATCGCCGCAACAGGCTTCCATAGTACCACTGTAAACAGACATTATTTTGGTTGCTCACCAATTTAAGAATTAAGAGTTTTCAAACGTACTTAAGAAATGAGATGGTTTGTCAAAATAAATACGTTTGCATATGACCATAATGTAGGAGGTTTTAACTCAGACCAGAACTTGTTGGGTTATGGCCACTGCCCTTTACGCAAAACGTGAAATACGCACAAAGTTGCTAGACAATCCAGTGGATCAGACTTTCCGTTCTGGAGTTATGTCCCCTTTTCCCAGAACGTCCCGAATTGACAGAATTGCAATCTAATAACACAGAATTCAGATCTGTCATCCCGACAATGGAAGTGGAGTGGGACGTATCGTCAATTAAACACATCGAATATGTTTCAGCTGTAATGGTATGTTGAGATATTTACTTAACCCTTGTGGGTTCACGTTGTGAGAATCACATAGCAGGTATCAAGGGGTCCATATGGACCCCAGTTATAATTCAAAGTATTTACGTACAGATATATTTGAATTAAAAGGCAGTGGTTTAGTTTTTATTTGCATTCATATTTATCAACTGAAAAACAACTAAATTATTATACAAAAACATTTTAGTGACATTTGGAAAAGATTTAGTAATTTTAACAAAATTGCTAGTTTGTGTACTATGTGATAAAGAGGTTAAATGGCAATTCACGCTTGATACACAAACTATTGAATATTTGGAATTCATCATTTAATTTTTGGTATTTGTAACATGCAGATGTTAAAAGAGAGAATACTCTGGCATACCCAATATGGTATCCGGCAGAAAACACATTAGCAAATTCCCTTCAAGCGTTGGATCTTATTTGCATGTAACATAACTGCATGTGGGAAGCAGATGGATATCGAACTCTTCGCTACGTGCAAAAATGTATAGGAGACAAAGTCACTAAATTTCAGAAAGCAGTACCCAGTAGTTATTGCAAAACACAATAAAACGCGCATGGGGTCCACGGAGACAAGGCTTAAGCAGTCGGCGCATGCATTGTAGTCCAAAATCACCAATTTATTCGATTGTCACATGTTTGGATTGATAGCTCTGAGAAAATGTCAACCAGGAATAATAATCTAATTTTTGACTTTTGAGAAAGCAAATGTTAAGTTTTGTTTTTATGGTTACGTCAAATGCATGTTAGGAGAATTTTAGCTAGCCAGCGGCGTTTTCTCGTACTCTTTTCTAATTTCTAACTGTCAATGTGTTATAACTTATGATTTTTATCCTAGCTGTTCGTGGCTTTCCTGCCTGTCCAACCTCGCGGGTTTTCTCCGGATCCTCCGGTTTCTTCCCACTGCTAAAGACCCCTACGCGCCAGCGAATTATTGAAATAAAATTAAAACCATATGTTAGTCCCGAAATGACCTTGTTTGTGTCGAGTGGACGTTAAACCCACGAGGCTAGACAGGCGACCTTACTCCTTGTCACGTACAACCGGAGAATCGAAACCACGCCAGTTGAGTCAATGACAGACTTTATGATACAGTGCGCACATGCTAACCATTCAGCCATCCACCCCCACCTGAATTGAAATAGAACACTGTTAAGATCACAGTGTCGTACATCCAGTGAATCGAAACCACGCCAGTTGACTCAATGACAGACAATATGATGCAGCAAGCACACGCTAATCATTCGACCATCCAACCCCCCAATTTCAAACCAAGAGCATATATCCAATATATACTGAAATATAGCTGGGTAGGGAGCTGCGGTCAATGTATTTAAAGCTTAACATTAATATGAATGTGGTGGCAGAATTATAAATACTACTGTCAAAATAAGTGGTCATGGGGTGAGTCTGAGGTTTCATCCTATTCCAACGACTAGACGCATTTACATGTCAGACCCCCCGTCCTTCAGCAGCCGGGAAAGCAAGCTGGGAAATTCAGAGTAATTTTCCCGACCAACACAGTGATCGAACCTTGGACCCCCTGATTACTCAACCAGCGTTATACCAACAAGAGATTGACTACACCCTCGGATAAGAAAATGAAAAAGCAGACAAAATATAACAGATATTTTAAAAAATCAAAATGGATTGTTATGCTTTTTATTTCCCTTATTAACTTATTAAAGTACATATTCCTTCATTTTTCATATTTAGTCATTGCGCTTTATAAGCTTTTTTAAGTATTTCATTAGTTTCTTACCAACTGAATAGTACCAAGGCCCATCAAGCGCTACAATAACACAAATCTCAACAATATAAAGGGTAACCCCAAGTGTCGCCACAACTTTAACAGACGGCCTTTGATCATCAGCGCTGGTTTTTTTCCGTATGAATGAACTTAATAAATGTTTATCAACTGTAAGATTAGCTATTAAGTCCCTCAAAGTTTCCGCCAGTAAATCGTTTCCAATATCGAGTGTCGTTCCACAGCGACAAATGTACGTAGTGTTTGAAATGCTGACGGATGACGCCATGCTGATTGGTGTTGTTTCGGACGCCGTGTTAAATGGTGTTGTTTCGGATGGTGTTGTTTTGGACGCCATTTTGAATGGTGTTGTTTCGGATGGTGTTGTTTCGGGTGGTGTTGTTTCGGACGCCATGTTAAATGGTGTTGTTTCGCTGACCTGTGTTTCCGATATCATAGATTCAGTTGTTTCTGTGGAGTAATGAGTAGTTCCGTCGACACTTTCTGTTACGCCTTCTGTTGTGACGTTTATATGCACAGATGGTGAAGTAGATGGTATGTTGAAAGCTGAAAAAGACGTGTCAAGGAGTTAGCCAAAGCCGGATAACCTTGGGGGGGGGGGGAGAGACCGAATTGAGGAAAAAAAGCAAAGTCCCGGCGGGGAGAACGGGGGACCTCCTTCAAACCATTTTAAAAGATTCCATTTGGCGCATATTCTGAGGTATATTCTGGGCGAGTTACACAAGTTAAATAAAATCAAATCAAATCAAATCATTGAACTGTTTTTGGCAGTCAGTCCTTTTTTAAAAACAAGCATTCACTAATTAAAGGCTATGTGACACAAACATTTCGACCAAATTACAAACCCCCGTCAATCGTATCAATTCAGAGCCTTTTTATGGTGTGAAAGGGGTCCTACCAAATGCAAGTTAAAAAGGGGTCCCTCATATGAGGGCCCAGAGAATGACCTTCATATTTTCAATTCTAATTTAGAATCTCTCGGGCATCAAATGGCCGCGGGTGTACGGGCCAGTTATCCCATTTTGCCCCACCCCCATCCCCGCTAGACACGCTACTGGATTCAGCATTGAGATAAAGAGTCCCCCACTATTTTGTTATATATGCGGAAATCTAATTTCTGTGATTTTAAGGAACATGCATTCATCTGTCGGTGAATATTTTTTAAAAATGTTTATAGAACATTATTATCCTAACGGACTGTGGGGCTCCGGGAAAAAACGAAACCCCAGGTCCATCATTTACTATCGGCAAAATAAATAAAATCTACCAAGCTACAATACTATACATCGGCCATTCTGGGACAAATAGATGGTTATTTCCTTTTCCATGCAATGGGAGGTAAGAGAATTATGCCGTCTACTATTTCCTGATTTCTAACTGTAAATGGTTATTTTACGTCCATCCATTTCAAACCACCAACGTCGGGTTGCTAAACTGGAACATTCTAATGGAGGTTCCAGTACCTTGACTGCTAACACTACCACCATAGCGGAAAGAATAAGTGAACAAGAACTTACTGTTATTTGTGGAACAAAGTCCGTAATACGAAATTTCACTACATACATGATTCTCCCAGTTATACTTTGGATCTGAATATGGTAACAGCCGTGCACATAGCTTACTGGGATCATCCAGCGTTATACCCTCCTGCCAATAGGTCCACGTGATAGGAACATTATCCCATGTGGCCCACGTATTGGGATCAACCTTGCTGTTAACACCGAAATATATTTCATTATATGCGCTAAAATAAAAACAAAAGTTTTGATTAGACTTTTCCATGGCAGATTTACAGTTTTAATTTGGCTGTATCGCCCTTGCGTCCAGTAAAACCTAGTTTTATCTGAGCTAACTGTGACTGTCGAGGACCAGGAAACACAGATCAGT